GCTAATGCCAGATTTGCAAAAGAACTTATAGCGATTCTTGAAGAAGCTGGACAGAAGGTAAGTCCTGAACTGGCAGCAATGGGGCGTGGTGCACCTCCTCCTCCCTCAGGTTAGTTTTCTCCAAGGAAGTGAAATCGTGTTCTAGTTCCTATTACTGTCAATACTTCCAGAAATCAATACCAAGGATAAAAGAAAAATAATCTAGAAGCGTGGTCCATACTTGTATTTCTCTGGTGCATGCTCGTTGGAGTTCACAATGAATGTTCTTGAGTTTATCAACATTTCATCCATATGTTGGACAGGTCATGGGGGATTCCGAGATCGTGGAAGGGGCTATGGTGGAGGACGATGATGGAGTTGATTTCCTAAACCTGATGACTTCAGACGATTATTACTCTGCAAGCATGTTTGATATCGGCTACATGCACTGTGTTGCCACTGGAAAAGTAGGTATGCTCAATATTACCAGTTAACCCTTTTGAACAGATCCATCTACTGCCGCTCTGCTAACACATGACAGGAAGAAGGTGAAAGTTCACTGGGATTTTGATGTACAAGAAAGAGTTTCATTTTTTTTCTCAAAAGAAAAATATTCAAGTCGATGTGTATTAAGTAGACAAAATTTCAAATATGCTGCAGTACTGTACTTACGATATTTCTAGTGTGTTAGAAAGTAAATTTCCCAAGTATTTCTGACCTCTCTATGTGACATTGTCAAAGATCTAACAGGGGATAGTATCTTTTATCATTAAGAAAAAGGCAAGAGCTGCCAAAACTGAGGAAACAGCTTAGCTGTAACCCAACATAATCAGTCTCTTATTTACTCTCAAACACACTTTGAAAGAGAGAAATTATGATAAACGTGAAGAAAGATACGAGATAGACATGAGAGCAGGGCCTGTCTGATGCGTGAACTTCTGGTTTCAATGAACTAAAGCTCTGCATTTGGTTGACAAAACATGAATTTGGTCTCCTAAATTCATCATTTTTGTCCGCTTGGAACGGCTGAGGTAAGGTAACATCTCTGTTCACGCCAGTTTCTCCTTGCATATTGTTTTAAATTTTAGTCAGTTCATAAGTTTTCTGCTAGTTACATCGAGGCATATACCTTCATTACGAATCATGGGATATGATGAATAAAATATAGAAGATTTGACTTGAAAAAGTAGCAGCATCGTGTTTATTGAAGAGAAACCAAAAGCAAAGGAGATATTATATTTAGGAGGAAACTTAGTCTGCAAGTGTTGCTTTAACTTCCTTGCTTTGCTCCTGTTGCAGATTTAGTTTCAAGTTAAAGGCTCATTGGAAATTGAAATGTTGATAAACCTTTTACAAAGTTATCATTTAAAAACCAGCCGATCACTTATGAAAGTTGCTTTGAATGCCTTAGATTCATTTTTCAGACAGTGTGGACAGAACATGTCTCGTTTTTTGTTTGGCTAAGATTGCCTAACACCAAAGTGTAAGATTTGTCTAAATTAATAGGTTTTGTTGGGTGTATTTTGGATGATAATTTTTTAAAAGATCTATCGGGTAAAATGAAGCTTAGTGAGATTTTGCATATGACACCAAAAAGGTCTAGGCTTAAGAGCGGTGATGATAGTTTAGTTGTCGAAGAAAATGTTCCGATAAACTTTTATTCACACTTTGTGTTGCTAACCCATGGGAGATAGAGCTAACAGGTGACGGTAAAGGTATCTCCACATTTCTTGTCGTCCTTTGGCATGACTTATAAATTTCAATACTGTCCTTTCTTTTTAACTTATTCTTTGGATACTTTCCTTAAATTAGGAATCCCATGGATGAAGGAAATAGATCTCCGCAAAAGCATGACAACTTTCACTGATAGACAGTCAAATCAAAATCATAGGGCTCAAAATTGTATTGATTCTTTACATAAAGACCATACAAAGTTCATCCCAAAGCTCCAGACTCCTATTGGAGGGCAATAAAGAACTATTTCCTCTAGCATTCTATGAGATTCTCAAAGATATATCAAGAAACTTTTGAAAAGGAAACAAACAAATAAGAGAGAAAAGAGGAGATTGGGCCCAAAGAGTTTGATGACATAATGATGATATGTGCCAAACACAACATACCATTACATTTAGAGAGTTGCATAAACTAACATATCAGCAAGTTAGGCAGTAGCTAAAGGTGTTGAGGTGTAGACACTTATTAAACAAATTGGCAATGAATGAATGTTGGGTCATGAAAGTGAACATAAGTTAAGAAAAGGGTCAAAGGAAAATCTTTGAAAATGTGGAAGAAATGGGTTGGATTCAAAAAGATTTCATGGGCAATGATGAACTCCAAAATTTTAAAAATACCCATTTTTTTAATGTTCCTTAGGGTGGCACATGCAGCCTCTTTGTGGAGTGATGATCAATGGGAAGTTCATATTTAATATTCTAACATGAAGGCACGAGAAGCCGTCCAAGCTGCCACTACAATGGAGTACTTAGCACCAAATGTAACTTTTTTAAGTTTATTTACTCTCTATATCCCTCTTTGGTCCCCCTTTTCAAATGGGTATATGTTAGTTTTTATGTACATAATAATTAGGGATTCATTAACGATAATAAAGGACTTGAGCCGATCATTTTGACCATGTTTTATAAAATGAGTGGGGTTTCTGTTTTAGTGGTCTGAGAAGAAGAAAGGTGAACCTAGAGCTATCAGTGACATCAGCCTTAGAAAATTGATAGACGAGTCTTGCTTTACTGACTTTGCACTAAGTTTGACCTTTCTATGACGGTTTATCTCTTCATGATTCGTCGGCTCTAGTTTAGACTTTCCCACTCAAAGAAGTTCTCGAAAAGCCTGAGTTCAAGTCATGATGACCTACTTAGGTAGAATTTAACATTATTTATGAGTTTTTTAAAGAACCAATTGTAAAAGGTTTTGGTCACTATCCCTTGAGATTACTTGTAAATTAGGGCTTCATTATCGACTAATAAGGATTTTTCTCGAGAGCTCGAGAGAGGGGTTTTTTTTTTGCATGAAGTTGTAAGATTATTGTGTAAGCAACACTAATTAATCAATAATGATAAGATTATCAAAGTTAGATGGTCAAAGATTAATGGAGGGTTAATCAGGTTTTACTTGTTAAACTCATTTTTCTATTAAAACATAAATGCTTAGAGATGTAGGGTTTAATAAATAGGCCTTTATCTTTTATTTGAGCATTGTTATATAAAATAATAATATATTCAAAGAAGTTTTTTCATCCATTAAACGTGTTCTTCATCAAATATTGATCAATGGTTACATCATTCCAACTTTGAAATAAGTACATTACTTTATTGGTAGTTAAATTTTGAAAAATATTTAAAATGTGGGAAATTTTTAATTTCAAATTTAATAGATTCATTCGATGTTTTCAACATTTTTTAAAGTTATTAAATAGGTGAGATGAAAAATTGAATTCTTTTTTTGTTCGATATGTTATTAAATTTTTAATTTTAAATCTAATTAGATTGGTTAATTTATGTTTGTTTCCTCGCGTGACACTAAGTTAATGAATGATATATGAATGAATTAAGACTACATTCGAATGAGAGTGATCTTGAAGATAGGATAACTAAGAACGACTTAAAAGAATTGAAGGTCACTATCTATATCGACAAGGTGCGTCTTACTTCTTGATGGCTCAATCATAAGAATTTCAGGGTTTAGCGTGTTTTACTTTGAACATTTAATTATTTATTTTATTCCTAAATCATTTACTAAAACTTTTAATTTTATTAAAAAAATTAATCTTGGTTTTATTCGCATTATAATAGGAATGTTTCTATTAGGTCACGGGCTGAATTCCTCTATTTTTGGAGAGATTACAGGAGAACATTTAATTATTTATTTTATTTATATTTTATTTTATTTTATTCCTAAATCCCTTCCTAAAACTTTTATAATAAGGAATGTTTTTATTAGGCAATAAATATCTCGTACTAAATCTCTCATCTTTGGAGAGATTACACGAGAACATTTAATTATTTATATTTTTTTTATTATTTTATTTTATTCCTAAATCCCTAGCTAAAACTTTTAATTTATTAAAAAAAATTATTCTTGGTTTTATTCCATTCGTAGGGTTTTAGTATAAAGAAACTAATAGAAAGAAGAAGGTTTCTATTAGGCATGTGTAGGTAAATACCTCGAGAACATTTAATTATTTATTTTATTTTTATTTGATTTTATTTTATTCATTTTATTTCTATTATAATAGAAATGTTTTTATTAAGCAATAAATGTCTCGTAGTAAATCTCTCAATTTTCGAGAAGATTACATGAGAACATTTAATTATTTATTAAGCAATAGTAAATCCCTCAATTTTTTTTGGAAGATTATGTGAGAACATTTAATTATTTATTTTATTTTTATTTTATTTTATTTTATTTTATTCCTAAATTCTCGCTCAAACTTTTAATTTATTCAAAATTATTCTTGATTTTATTCGAAAACAAAGGTTTTAAAGCTTTGATTTCAAAACTTAACTTCTAAATATTTTAAGAGAAAGTGGCCGAAAAAACAAAGAAAATGGTTATCAAAAAATAATAATAATAATCTGTTAAATACAAAAATAAAAATTTAGAAATTTATTAGAAACTTAAAACTATAATTTATATTTAAACAATTTAATAACAAAAACTAAAAACTTAAATTTGTTATTATCTACTCATTCTTCTCCTTTCAATTATTGGACGAGGCCATTACAATATAGCTGTCTCTTATTTTACACCAATACAAATAAAGCGTGTATTTCCGCCTCTTATTTTACACCGATACAAATAAAGTGTGTATCCCCGCCTCGCTCGGCGTAATCGAAACCCATGCAAATTCATATGGCAATAACCAAGAAAAAAAAAAAAAGGCAACCAAAAAAGTTGAAAGAGTGGTAATCATACGAGTCTTCATATTTACATTATAAAAGGTTGAGTATCACTTGCAAATCTCAAACAAATCTATACACAGATCAGCAAAAAATTCATAAAAAAACATGGATTCTTTGTGGATTTTTGTGCAGCTCATCACAGCTGCAGCCTTCATATGTTCCATAATCATTGTAATCCTCAAAGCCTCATCCTCTTCAAAGCCTTCACTTCCTGCTGGCTCGCTCGGCCTCCTCTTCGTTGGCGAAACGCTCCACTTCGTCTCCTCCGCTTACTCTCACCGCCCCGACAGTTTCATGGACACGCGCCGCCTACGGTGAGTTTTGTTGAGATATGATTCAAATATTCAAACTATCAAAATTTTAGGAGATTGTTAGTAGATTTGAATTTATTACTATTTCGGCATAATGGTAAAGAACATGAGAACATGAAATCATGGGATGTTTTTTTAATGGGGTTTTGTGTTTTTTTTTTTTTTTTTTTTTTTTTTTTTTTTTTTTTTTTTTTTTTTTTTTTTTTTTTTTTTT